TTTCAATTCTCTATCCAACGATGCCAAAACGAATTCTGTGGCTCGAATGGTTCTTGAGAAACTTCGAATAAAAGCCATTTAGTTATCTCTGGAATGATTGAAAAACGAGCGTTCTTGCTCATTTCGCTTCCGAGAAACATACAAAACGGGACGGAAAACATAAAATTTTACAATAATCTTGCGCCACCCTTGCACAAAACGACAATCATTTTTCTAATTTCATAAACAACCGAAGACTGTATTTTTTCTACATAACCCATAATAAAAACTAGGGTTTCTTAACCAGGTGCTCCTATTTGAAATAACGGCTCTAGAAAATATTCGCCAGTCCAAAAGTCCAGACGTCCCCTGGTAGCTAAAATTATAATTACAAGTTAAGTAGTAATTTGACACTTTTTTGTGGACATTGGTGTCATATTGGTGTTTACATCTGATTGTCATTTGTCTTGTTTTGTTCTAATCAACATTTGCAAGCTTTTAGAGAAGTAGAAACAGATCGAAAAGTGTGCAAGTATTGCTTGATGTTATAGATGTCATCAACTCCAATAAATAAACAGGTCTGACAAGTCTCAACTGTCACTCGACAACGAGTAATTTGACGTTTCGCAGCGCCACCATCGGTAGTTGAACTCGCGAATTCTAGATACCGACGGTTACTGTCCCTGTCAAAGTCCTGTCAACCTAAATTGAAACGCCGGCTTAATCGCTGTGGAAAAGGGCTCAAAATTCCCCTTTATTGAGTGATACTCAACAATTTGTAAGTCTGTAAAGTGCTTGTCATGATACAAGACATAAAGAATAACAAAAACTTCTGGGCGAAACATGCCACGATATTAAATAGGCGTCGATTCTATAAAGTGCGGCGCTGGATCACGCAAACTACAACTTTAGCATGGTTTATCGCGTGCGAATAGTCAGTCTGGATGGATAGCAACTGATTGATACTCATAATCTTCCCAAGTAGAGTGCGAAAGAATCCTGGGCTTCTCACCAAAGCGCAAAAGAAGCACTGAGCTGATGACGTGCCATTGTCAACTGTCAATCAATTGTGGGCGTGGCGGGCTTTTGAAGCCCCATCGGGCCATTAAACACTCTTGATGTTAATAAAATGCATGTTCTTTCACTGTTAAGGTGAAGGACGAAATGTATGAATATCATTTCCAATGCTAATAATTAAACTGCAACATGCAATAAAGAAAAAACGCAACAAAATAGCGGCATATTTCACATACTCGGCTGGTTTATCTGGCCCAGATAACTTAATCGGTCGCCTATATCTGGGCAAAGGAAAACTGGATCTTTAGCCGATTTCCCGCAAGTAGGTAAAAGAAATCAAGACTTTGCGTGTTGCACCTGTCGAAAAACTAGGGCGCACTTTCTGGTCAGGGCCACCCCTGCTGGGCAGTCCGATTTACTGCTCTCTGTCCACACGTAGAATCGGGGGTGCAAATGTTTGCACAATTTTCCCGCATTCAAAGCCATTCCAATACGGAAAACTCGCTAATAAAATGTTTGGCGAGATTTACAACATGCCATTAACACACTAAGAGCATGACGAAGTAGGCCTGGGTGACACTGTTTGAGTTGTGCTATTAAGTTGTTGCCGCTGTCACTTTAAAAATCTTCAGAGCGATGAAGAGGGCTAATTTTTCAAATATTTTTTTAAATCGTTTTTCTCTTATTCGCTATTTCGCTTATAATGAAATTTTGAAGAAACTGTAAAAACATTATTAATAACTGACCTCAAGGGTCAGTTATAAATCTATCTAAATTATAAATCTGAAAGCAAGAAAAAAGTCATGAATATTTTCCCAGCAACAGATCTGAGTTACTGCGATGGTGCGTTGGGTTGGCGCACCAAACCATTTGCGTAGCACTGCGCCAACTCCTAAAAATTTACTGAGTTACC